AATCCAACAAAGCCATTGCACATCCTTCCTGTCTCTTGCCATCACAGGTGTTTACATCCATGTCTAAACAAAGCAAGCGGAGGTCCCATGAAATGCACTGGATGGTTTTACAAGAGGAAGCTAATTGGTTTTATGTGAACTCATTCCTGCTGCTATTGGCACCTGTTGACAGAGTAGGCGGTAAGGAGCCACTCTGTATTTACTGGAAGGGACTGTAAAATATGCAACTTAATTAACCGTATTTAGGCCTTGTTAAAAAAAAACAATGCTGCAATTAATGACTCTCTAGCTTTCTTCTCACTGGGGCTGGAGTATCTGATCTCTTTCATTCAGACAGGAGTCTGTCCGCACATTATTTATGGATTTCCAATGGGATTTCAAAAGAGCATTCCTCTAATACTTAGGCTGGTCCCCCTCCACCCCTTTCATGAGCTGAGAGAACAAGCTGACTCCTTGGCACCATTGCAAATCAGCAGGAATTCTGCTGTGCTCAATAACCTCCTCAGCCTTTTAAAGGCCTACCAGTAATTGTTATTGTCTGTCTAAAATTTGTAGCCCAATCTATTCCTGAAGGTTAGTAGGTGTCAAAATAACCTTTACAATTGGTAAAACCCTTATGGTTTGCCTCCCACAATTGTGGAGTGTGTCCCCATTTTTCTGCTTATGGATGCTGAGAATGTGCAATGTTGTTTTTCCTTTTGCAAACTGTGGGCTTTTGCAGGTGTATTTATTTAGGTACTTCTAAGAAGCAAACAAAGCTAATTAGGAGTGTCATCAAAGTTCCACTCTGCCTGGAGCAAAATTTGAAAGGAAATGTCTGAGGAATTCTGGAGGGAAGCCAAAAGCATTTTAATGTGACTACTGAGGTTTCTTGATGATGATGGTAAATGTTTTTTTTTTTTTTAAAGATCATTTGTATTAGGGAAGTTTCTGAAATTATCCTAATCTAAATGGCTCAGTGAATTTGGAGTTTTTTACTGCCCCCCACAAAGTGGAAACAATACATTAGGAAGCCTCCATTATCTCATGCTTGTTTATTTTAACTTTCTTTGCTGAGCACTTTGCCTTACCCACTTCTTTAGTTCATCTGAGGATGAAGCTGTTGACTTCACATTCACATTTATCATCTTAATCTTCCCCCCCACCCCCAGTCTTCAACTGGGTGCTTTCCAGAATTTGGGTTTTGCTGTTGCTGTTGCTGTTGTTGTTGTTGTTGTTGTTGTTGTGTTTGTGCTGTTTTGCAAGAAAATACTTAAAACATTCTTGTGTGCAGTGCTCTGAATACATGAATGTTTTGTATGTATTGTATATATATATATAGGAAACTGCCACTTAGCAGTTCTAAAAGCATCCCCCCATCTATCCATGTTGTTTGAGGATTCTGGGAACTGTAGTAAAAAAGGCATACTTTTCAAGATACTGTATTAGCCGGACTCAGTTAGCCAAATATCTCTCACTTTGAGGGACAGCAGATCTACATGGCAATACCAAGGAGTCTAAGGGCTTGACGTCTTTGGCTGAATCGCATGAAACTCTCAGATTGTGCAATCCAAAGCATTGTTAATCTTACATAATTCCCAGTTTCCTAAGGTTTGCAGATCCATCCTCTAACTGAGAACTGCATATAGAAAAGTGAACGTATGTGAAGAAAAATTTTTGTTTTATAGGTGAAAAGATTTTATGGGAAATGGATTGCAAAAACATGTACATTGGGCAGAAACTTATACAAAAATACAAAAGATGAGAGGCATGATAGCACCCCCCCCCCAAAAAAACCCATACATTCTTGTGCTGGTGTTTTTACATGACAAACCGATTGCATATCAGGTCAAACCAAAGCTGAAATATTTTGGTCAGTCCTTAACTATGGTCCTTCTGGAAAGGTTATTTTTATGTAGTGATTTAACCAATGCACAGAAGCACAGGTCTGCCTGAGAAAAATGCCACCTGAAATTAACAATGCATGTGTGCATGCACATCTGTTGAGATTTTCTTTGTTTGTTTGTTTCTGTCTTTTTTTCTTTCTTGTATTTGACAGAAACATTTTAGAGTAGAGTGAAAAATGGTGAGGAGATGGAAATGGCCTAAAGATAAACTATATGTTCTAATGTCCCAGAATGTATAACTGCAATTTTCCCAGCTGATCTAGATCTGACAGAGATGAAAAACGAGAGTTTACCCACATCACAAAAAAAAATCACAGTGGTGAAAAACACAAATTCCAGAATATACAGAGCCCCATACTGAAAAACGTATACTGTAATTCTATACTGTAATAGGTACCCATAATTGTAAACAGAATTTGACAACCGAATTAGCGCTACCAGAACTCCCTAGCCAGCATGTTGACTCTGAGTTTTAGTCCAAACAATGTAAAGTCTCCAAGCTCTGATTACAGGTGAGGATTGTTGAGAAAGGTAGCTGTTGAAGCTTTATGCAGTTTTGATGTCCTGGGAGAAGGTCCTCTTGACCTTTTCTCAAATTAGTAGCTCAATGAGGAGGAAACACACCCTCTACCTCTATGTCATTTGAACTCCATTGCATTTCATCACTGGTCATGTTAACTGAGGCTTCTGGGTGTTGTTATCCAAAACAACTGGAAGGTTCCAGGTTGGCCAGCTTTTGAAGGTGGGTTAGACCAATAAGTAAATTAGGCAAAAACTTTTCTTTATATTTCTTTGTCTCTCCATCACTGTCTGCAGTCTACAGTACTCAGCCAAACATTTATGGCCAACCTAATCCTGGATGCTTTAGGGTAGGGGCTGGAAGGGAGGAAATATGCTAAAGATTGGAAATAGGATGTGCCTTTGGGTCAGGGTTGGATCTTTAGGTACGGGACAATGAAAATGCCTGAATACTAAGTTTTTAACATTTGTTGAACTATCAGAATTGTTCAAAGAGGCCGTCAGATGCTTTGCAAGCATCATGGAGAGTGACATGGAAGATTATGTAGCTTCATTCTGTAACTGGTATATGAGAAATAGGAAGGGGGTAGATAGTTATTACTTTGGTCTACCACTAGGGATTTGAAAAAATTGACAGACCATCTCAGTTTAGTGAGATGACCTGTCAAGAACTCTGGACATTCTGAAAGATGTCACACTTCCGGTGTGAGAATATTAAGCAGTTCTCCTCCTTTGTGCTTTCCAAAATTTGTGCAAAATGTATCTGTGTAAAACTGGCATTTTTTTCTTTTTGTGAAGCAACAGACATGTGCACACACAGAGCAAACACAACAGGACAAGCTTCTTGGTCACAAATATAGGAACAATCCACTGAGTGCTACCACATCTACAAGCCTAAGCCACAATGCAACAAATATCAAATTTCTGAAATTTGCATATTTTACAAAAGTGCACCAGAACTGGTCTTAAATATGCAAGAAAGACTTTCTAAGGCTACCCCACCACATCCCACCATCCTATGTGGAATGTTTTCAGGAACAAATCATGTCATTCTTTACCTCTCTTTTTATCCTCTGTATTACCCCTCTCCAGTATTTGCATGGGAGAAAAAAAATGTCTTAAGCTGATGGAAGCTGAGAATGTGAGCTCCCCCTCTCTATTAAATTAAAATCCCCTTTTAAAGCTATTTTATAAATTGCCTTAGCCAGGTGAGAGGCAGTAGGATTAGAAGATAAAACTGTAATTGTTTGTCAGAAATGTACATTTGCCATTCCCCAGCTGTGTCAATAGAACAGCTGGAAATTAATACCTGGGATCTCATAATGGCAATACAAAAATTACTGTTGAAGAAACCTGTGTTAATAAAATTAACAATTTCCATATAGCTTTGGCAGAAAAGTCATTCCTGGAGGGAACCTGGGTGGGTTGCAGAATGTTACTAACTATTATCTTTAATTCATATATCACGTTGGCCTTTGTCAAGTCTGTCATGCTGGCCCATGGAGCTGCTTTGCTGGCAAAAAAGGGTTCAGTGAAGGGAGTCACTTTTTAAGTTGTGTGGATGAATAGATTAAACCAGCCTATATTGTCACATCATTTGTCTTGATAGCCCAGGACTGCCACAAGTCCTAACACGAGCACCCAAAGCCAGTTGTGCTAACCTCAGAGCAGGCCCTACCTCTATCCCCTTTGAAGTGGTTGTCCAGGCAGCAAAGGACCTGGGGTGGTGGCGGCAGGAGAGCTATTCTCTACAGAGCTTGAGAGCCAGTTCTCAAGCAAGAGGAGATGGGAGTGAAGAACTTCCAAAAAATATGAGGATTAACCCAATGAGATGGTTGTCTCAGTCAGTGGGGTACAGGGGATGGGCTGTGGGTCGCAGAGCCCCCAACACCGTGTACTGCCCCCACCAAAGCTGCTCTCTACTAGATGTAAGGCCCACTCCTCATCCATGAAGAAGAAAAGAAAAAGGACACTGGAGCTTTTTGGAAGTGGTGGCAGCCGCCCTGGTACCCACCACATGCTGATGGAGCCATGGTAGAAAAGGTGCCCCCCTCACAACCCACCAGTTTAGCTGTGTTTTGATCATTTATTTCAGAAACACTTGCTTCTGAGGGGGCCTTGGAGCTAAGATACTGTAAGAAGGTGGCAATGGTAAACTTTGAGAGGTGACCCCTCCCCACAGTGCTTAGGCCTGAGCCTCCCCCAGCCAGATCCAAGCAGTTGAAAGGATTGGCCCCCATATTCCCAAGCTAGAGAGGCAAGGGCCTCCCTGGGGCATCTCTCCTTCAGTTGCATGCAGAGGATGACAGTGCCACCAGACGCCACTGCTGCTTTCGCTGCTCTGCCTCCTCTCCTTCCTCCAGGCGAGTGTTTAAGGAGGATTGGGGTTTGGGGTGGCCCTTCTGTCCTCATCTCAAGTGATGAGAGAGCTTGCATGGCCCTGGGTGACCTGTTCCACAGCTTGAGGTAAATTCTATTTTCTCACATAACTGTTTACTCTTTCCAAAGACATCCAGCCTCGTCGCCAGAGGATTCTGTGTGAGATGTTGAGATGAGAATGCCTGACCTGACTCTTCTCACTGTGCTTGTTTCCAGGTTAACAGGTTTCCAGCTACCTCCTCCCATTGTGAGCACTGGGATAGTGCTGTCCTTGTGGCTTGTAAGTGACTATGCTGTCAGCGCTCAAGGATTTCTGGCACACTATGAAGGTAGGTCTGCTTTTGAGAAACTGAATACGTTTTTCTAAATAAAAGGAATAGACAATGTTTCTTCTCAGGAAGTCAAAATCATTTACTGTCAAATCAGATCTTGTTTCACAACTCAGAATGACCACCTTTAAATTTTTCATATTTTAAAAAAGTAGGCATTGCTTGGAAATGACACTGAGGTTCTTGAATGAGGAGCCATTGAGCAGCTTCAGGTTTTGATGGATAATACTGTTTCACCGGATCTCTTTCAGTTGTTTTCTGGCCAGTCTTGGAAGTGTCTCCTGCATGACTACTTTTTTCAAGATAAAAATAGCCTAGGTGTATCCCCACTGATGTGTTGTGATTTATCACTGCCTCTTGATATCATTGATTATGGCATCATTCTAGAACTATTTGAGGGTCAGACTGGATAATACCATTAGTAAGTCTTTGGAAATAGAACTCCATTGAGAGGTCAAAGTTGTTACTTTATCCTAGCATGAGACAGCCTCTATCCTCCTATTGCAAGTTGCTGTTGTTTTGTGATTTTCTGACTGGAATATAAATATGGGCATTGTTTGCAAGGCTGAAGGCTCTGGCACACTTATTTCAAGGAAGCGTGTGTGTGGAAGGAAAATCTTTTCCATCATAAGAAGGTGTGACAGTAAATGCACTGAATCGGTATCTGGGCTGTGTAATGGATTGCATGGGCATCATCAGAAATAAACATGATAAAAGTCCTATACAGCCTTGGAGAGCAATAGATCTCAGGTGAAGAGCCTTCCTTATCTGTGTCACATGACAACCAGAATTTCGATTCAAACTATCGCTGTCCATGTTCAGGAGGAGGATGGAATGGGGAATTGAGTTGAGTGGGGTGACTTTGCTACTGCTCCTTGTATATTGAGTAAAGACTGATAAGACCCACCAGTCTGAATGGATGGGATGCGACCTCATCTAGACGGAGTCACATTCTATTTGAAAGAGCATGCATTAAGCTGGGGGTTGCATCTGGAAATGTCACTAAAGGCAAAAGTGATCTCCATTGTATTAAGCGCCACCTAGCTCTTCCAGCAGGTAGTCCAGCTGCAGTCCTATCTCAACTTCTTGACTGAAACCCTCTTGACACAACTCTATGTGCATAAGGTTGATTTTGTCATAAAGGTAAAGGTTCCCCTTGACATTGAGTCCAGTTGTGTCTGAATAGGGCGTGGTGCTCATCCCCGTTTCCAAGCCGTAGAGCCAGCGTTTGTCTGAAGACAGTTTTTGTGGTCATGTGGCCAGCACGACTAGACATGGAACGCCGTGACCTTCCCACCGAGGTGGTACCGATTTATCTACTCGCATTTTCACATGCTTTCGAATGGCTAGGTTGGCAGGAGCTGAGACAAGCGACGGGCGCTCACTCCGTCACGTGGATTCGATCTTACGATGGCTGGTCTTCTGACCTTGCAGCACAGAGGCTTCTGAGATTTAACCCGCAGTGCCACCACATCCCTTATTTTTTTTGTCATATCCATGGCCTAATTAAAAGTTTATATTCCCCTGCGCCAGGTTCTGAAGCTCCCTAGTAATCCTTTTTGTCCTGGGGAAACCAAAGTGTTAATCAATGTTTCATATTTTACAGTCTCTTTGGTGCTCTCAACCACTTAGGAGATCTTGCTTTCCTGATGATGGCAGGGACTGATTGAGTTTCCTCCAGGTGTTTTGTTGTCGGTATGAATACCAAGTCTTCTTCCTGTCATTCCCAATATACCCTCACTGTTGCCTTGGTTCCTGCTTTGTTGTTGCTGCTTTGTCTGACAGAAGTCTCCACTTATGCTCTTCTTCATACAGATCCCTTTCATTGCTTGCACCAAGCAGGTAAGCCCATCCCCTCAACCATCTGTTCCCCTAGTTACAGTTCGAGCCAGATGTAAATAGCTTTACCATTAAAAATAATACATGGACTTACAGCCAAGGTTGGTCTGCATGAACCTATTCTCATTCTATTGCCTTTGGTTTGCCTGGAACAATATTTTTAAATTCAATTTTGCAATGGCCAGGCTCTGTGCTGTGCTATGGGCTTAAAACATGCACACAGAGGCAGCCAATGCATGACACTGAGCAGTGCAGTTCAGAATGAAGTTTTTTTAAAAAAAATATATCAAAGCGTCATCCCAATGCTGAACTGAATTTATTAATTATCTATTGTTTACTCTTCTAAAAATGCTCAAAGCCCCACCCTACCTCCCACAAATGAGCAAGTGTAAGTAATATGTGAATACAACAAATAGCGACTTGGTCAACAAATTTCATTGTACAGCCCACTTCTTCAATTGAAGTTACGTTCTATCCACAATAACCATATGCCAAGTAAAACTTGCTGTTGTGTCTGGCACTAGAAGTTGGTTGTTTCTGCTGCAAAAGATAGATGTAGCCACTCCTGTGAAAATGAATAAAGAAAACATTGCTAGGGCTATGCACTGGTCCCCTGTTTCAGTTCGAAAACCCTTTGGGGGCTTCAGAATGGATCCCAATTCTTCATGCAAACTGCATGCATTGGGGAACTTTTGTGTGCAAAGTCTCTGAGTAACGGTGACAGACTTCTCCTTTTGATACAAGGTCACAGGAGGTATCCACCAATCAAGTAGTAAGGGTGTTGTGGGCTTAGAAAAGGTGGAACATTGTGCCTGAAGGTTAAACTTTTCCAAAATGTTTGTGTGCATGTATGGAGGGACGTGGTGGCGCTGCGGGCTAAACCACAGAAGCCTCTGTGCTGCAGGGTCAGAAGACCAGCAGTCGTAAGATTGAATCCACGCGACGGAGTGAGCTCCCGTTGCTTTGTCCCAGCTCCTCACCAACCTAGCAGTTCGAAAGCATGCAAATGCAAGTAGATAAATAGGTACCACCTCGGTGGGAAAGTAAACCGCATTCTGTGTCTAGTCCCGCTGGCCACGTGACCATGGAAAGTGTCTACGGACAAACGCTGGCTCTATGGCTTGGAAACGGAGATGAGCACCGCGCCCTAGAATTGGACACAACTGACTAAATGTCAAGGGGAACGAACCTCTACCTTTACCTTTTATGGCATTCCTGCAGGGTTTTGAAGCTTTGGGTGTTCTTACTGGATTCCCAATTCACAGGAACTGCTGAAATACTACTGGCATCTTTCCCCCCACCCCCACCCCAAAGATTACATATGCTAGTCGCACAGGTACAATGTGAAATTAATTATAATCACCACTGTGGCATACCTGATGAATACATAGTGAGGTGACATTTAAAATAAATTGAGCAAGTGTTTTTCAGTAAGCGAGAAATCAGTATGAATTCCACACCACGTCCTGGTTAATACCAGCAACAGTTCATCGTGAGTGGTGGGTTAGCCTTTTTTTAAAATAAAAGCATATTAATATTGCATACATGGCAGAATTGCATTATAATTTATAAATCCCTGCCTTTTGGCTGTCTTGTCAGTGCGGAAGGCATAAAAAACACATCGGAGGGAGCTAATGTAATGTCAGGAAGGTTTGTTCTTTACCATAATGCAAACAAGAAGAGAGAAAGAAAACACACAGGAGTATAAAACAAGCTTGGCTTAATAAAACTTTAATATTGTTTCAAGAGTTTTACATCCTGGTTTTTTTTTTTGGGGGGGGGTCTGGCAGCTAGACTTGTGAAAGTTGCTGGTCCATATGTTAAGCAAATAAATAAATTAAGGACAGTGCTGTGATGTGTTAATTAGCCTGTCCATCTTGCTTTTTCATAAACTAAGAACAACATTGATTTTTTTAAGAGCTAGCAAATTTTGAAACAAATTTAGAATTCTCACTAGAAGTTAAAGGGACATGGAAGACAGCCTTCTCTGTGGCTGTTCCCAGACTCTGGAACTCCCTCCCACCAGAAGCCAGGCTGGGCCCATCTTTGCTGTCGTTCCACAAGCTTTTCTTTTCAGACAAACTCTTCTTTAGTGATTGTCTGCCTAAGTAAATGTTGTGCCTTATTACTTTGCATGTGTTTTGGAGTTACTTATGTTTTTTGTATGGCATCTGTTTGATCCTTTTTAGTATTTGTTTACTTATTGTTCTTAACTTTAATATTGTCTTTTAAAGATGTAAGCCGTCTTGGGTCCTTAATAAAAAGAAAGGTGGGGTTAAAATATTTTAAATAAATATGGGAATAGACAAAGAATGGCTTTCTGGATGTTCCAAAGGGAATGGTAGGTGATGCCTCTATTAGACTATTAGAAAATCACAAACCAATGCCATGTTTAATTTAATAATAATAATAATTAATAACAACAACAACAACAACAACAACAACAACAACCAAACAACCAAACAAATAAAATAAAATAAAAAGCTTTCAGCCCCTCTGGGACTTCATCAGGCAGGATACCACTTGTCTTTGGATGGTTCCGAAAAGAAAAGAAAAATGAGTGTCTCAAAGTTCCAGAATAAGAGTTTCAGAATAAGAGTTTCAGAATAAGAGTTGTGTAGTCAAAACAGAAATGTTGGTTTTAAAGTCCACATCTGGCTGTAGTGATCATATTACTGTATCCCAAACTTACCATACAGAAGGCTGCCAGCCACTCAGTATCCTCCCACATACTCACCATTTCTTTGGGTTATGTTGAAACAAAAGTTCAATTTCTTTGGCGGTGAATTTCTTTGGCGGAGACACAGAAATGTGGCGAACCTCTGATCAGAGAAGTTGGGATAAAAGTTGGTTTACCAGCTAACATCTGGAGGGCTGGACTTTGGGTGTCTGCACAGTAGAAGGAAAAAGCAGTTCATCTCCGTGATCCTTGATGCCACCCTGAGCACACTCAATCACATCTGGTTTTGGAAACAATTCAGAATCCCACCTGTTTAGTCCTTGTTAGAGAATACCAGGAACTTCTAAGTAGGACAAAGAAGGGATCCCACCTGAAACCCTGGGCAAGCTGGGCCAATGTTACTGCTCAGAAAAAAATCAGCTTCCCATGTCCCTGTGTTGAAGATATGTGTATGATGAGGTGTGGAAATCATAACCTTTCA